TCTTTCACAGAACGGACAAATCAATCTCCATATTGTGTTTCGCCTCTCGTTCGCTCCCGGTGTGTACAAAGACTGGACGTTCACAAGAAACGGAAGATGAAAACAACGTCAAGAAACCCAAGACACGATTCCGATCCTCAGTAATTTGGTGTTTATTTCAATTAGGTTCGTTGTTCGTAGCTAGTATTCTCTTTGGTAGTATGTATAGGTGGCACATAGGTGCCTTTGATTCTGCTTACTTCAGCCGAACGACAGCTAACTACGTGACTAGTTGGACGGACAGACGGAACCCTTGTCTCTACAGCATTAACCGTGTCTGTGCTTATATAAGGCTGCCAGCCGAAACATTTCGTTTCCAACGAAGTGGCACTTGATTCCCTTTTTCGTTTATTTCTTTATTATTTTTTTCCTTCGATCAATTGGGTTCTCGCTTTGGACACTAGACTTTAAAGACTAAAAAAAATCTTGTTTTCGTACTTCTTATAGGATACGCCTCCTAATGTAGTAAACATTCTCTTAGTATACGGCACCCAATTCTTTTAGTATGCACCGTCTAAACATGACTTGATCTACGTGGATTGCATGACCGAAACATTAATTTAAAGTTTCAATGGACACAGGTATGATGTGTCATACCAATGTGACATGAATGCAGCTTGAGGAACATTTTATAACAAACGACTGTAATTTTGACGAATACCTTAAGGTGCGCATTCTGAAAAAATATGCAGAACTTACCTTGCGACCCTTCAAACGCATGAGGATAGTTGCAAACTATTAACTTCCCACCCAGGGAAATGAAGAGAATGACAGGAGAGTGTATAAGATTTAAACGAAGCTGTTTCATTAATTCCTCATAGTAACTAATGAACTACCGGAAAATTTCAAGATGAGCACGATGGCTATCATATTACGTTGCATACCATTCCCACTGGCTGCATTTCGTTTTGGCACGTTGATTACCACTACAGCCGTTGTCTCAAGATAAGCGACGATTGTACAAAGACTTAGATATTTTATATTTTTATACTTGTATACAATTGTTAAACATGACTTGAAGACAGATATAATGTCAAAATATTGTTGAACATTGTCAAATTCTCTCTTTTTTCTCTTCTTAAATTGCGCTCTTCTCCTAGTGTTGAAACATATTGGAAGAGTTACGTCCATCATTTTGTTTATTATTATTATTATTATTATTATTATTATTATTAAAGAGAGCTACACTCGAAGCATGTGATGCTGGAGTAGAAATATGCCAAACCCAATATAGCCATCATGCCATTAATTCTGGTAAGTGTATACAAGATACATGTATCAAAGCCAAATCTACGTGATATGGTGATAAGATGTGCATAACCTTGTTAGAAATGGTGATAAGATGTGCATGAAGACTTGTTAGAAATACTTTCATGTCTAGAAACGACTCTCACGTTCCGTTGGTTGCCTCAGGTTTCAAATTAAAAGTCTGGAGGGAAAAGAAATGCACACTTAGGGTATCACGCCTGTAAAGTCAAAATTCAAGTGTTTGTCATTACGAATATCGACCCGGAACTATCCCCCATCTTAACGAAATTATTTAACCACTGCTGGAAGGAGAAATCATTCCCAAGTCTGTGGAATGTATCAAGTGTGTGCTCGGTTTTCAAGAACGCGGGTTGAGCGATCACCCACCTCTCAGTATAGACCCATTAGTCTTCTTGGTGTTGTTAGAAAGCTTTTTGAATCTATAATCAACAAGAAAGTTGTTGAGAACCAAAATAAGAACAATTCCTTTTACGACAAGCAGTACGGGTTTCGATCGCCTCGATCCACTTCTGATGTCCTAACTTCCATTACTCACAGAATCAGTGAGTCGCTGGACAACAAATACATCTCAAGAACCACAGCATTAGATGTCTCAAAGGCCTTTGACAATGTGCGACACAAACGACTATTGCTCAAGCTGTCTAGAATTATTGAAAGAGTCTTATCAATAAAAAAATGTCAATTCATGCCGTCAGCTTCTTATTTCCATGTTTATTGATCTTCAAACCTAAGTTTTTTTAACGTGTTGAAATACAGGATATAGAATTGTTAGGATCCTGATAAAAAATAAAGATTTTTCCACGTGCCTTATTGAAGCTGATAATCTTTGACCGTTTTCGCCTTTATAAAACATTGGTTATTTTTTATTCCAGTATTTAGCATATCTATTAGGAATAGATAAGTTCAACTATCGTCTGGTTCGCAGAACTCGTCGGTCTTTTGAATAGGAGTTGAGGTTTATCCCTTGTTTCCTGTTCATGATTGAATTTACGCTTTCTTCTAAAGTTTTCTCATTCTCTTTCTCTAGGCTTTATCGCATTGCTTGGGATAAATTGATTAAAAACATTTTATAGTTTTGGATGATCATAGGTCTCCGTCTTTAAAGAATTCTCTTAATGAAAAGTTCAATTACTTGGAAAATTTCAAAAGGCGCCTAAAGCGATTTTCTTGCCCAAAGAGATTAATTCTTCTAGGAGAATAGAATTATGTCGATGCTTGAAAGATGACAGAAATTACAGAAAAACGGTAAATAGGCACTTCAATAAAGTTAATTTCGAAAAAAAAAGTCTATTATTTTTACTTAATAAACGGAAAGAATTTATCAATTCCTCAGGTGATATAAACGTTCGCTAAACACGTTTAACCTTAGCTTAGATAGCTATCTAGAAATATAATAAACAAACTGACATGGATAGATAGATAGAGAGTCCGACAATTATTTTAATTCATTTTATTGTCATACGTTATTTATATAGACACAAATATTTAAGTAAATGCTCTGTTTAAATAAACAGTATTTTCAGGCTGGTAAATGTTGTTATTACTGTTTATTATATACAGAGCATTTACTTAAATAGTTGAGTCTATATGAATAACGTATAACACTAATATATATATATATATATATATATATATATATATATATATATATATATAGAGAGAGAGAGAGAGATAGATAGATAGATAATAGATAGTGGTCAATATACACATATATATATAATATATATAACTATATATAACTATATATATATATATATATATATATATATATATATATATATATATATATATATATATATATATAAATTTCAAAGAGGTTAGAATCCAGGTAGAATATATATATATATATATATATATATATATATATATATATATATATATATATATATATATTTCTATATATACACTTTTATATGGATAGATAGATATGAACAGACTGCATTCTATACGGAGATGAATGGTGAACAAAACCACGTAATTATATTTGCTATATTTGAAGTAGTTCTTACATCTTATTCCTTGAAGCTAATACTACTAATAGATGACACTCGGACCCAATCTCGGCGGGATATTCTGCAATTATATATCGAAATGACATCTCAAATTTCAGAGTCTCCCATGTTCACTATAGAAGTAACAAATTTAACCTGCAGTAATGACAAAAGAAGCCCCAAAGGAGGTAGAAATAAACAATATTGCCTTCGACATTTATAGTTTGGGATCAGTTGTCAAATCAGAGAAGCATATACAAAACCTTAAATGATAGCTTCGAAAATGAACTAAATCTACCACAATTAATTAACAGTTTTCAAACAGTGAAAAAAAAAGATATATTTTTTTTGTTGTTAGTCTGCTTACATGGTATATTAATTTTTATAGATTAAAACCAAAAGATTTAGTTTTGTGGTTAGAGATTAGCGCTGGTGTCCAAGAAAAGTGAGATTAAGTCTTGTGCAGAATCATCACCTTAAAGATAAAAAAAAAATGGAAACTTAATGGAAGGACATTTTTTTAGTGGTCAGTCTAAGATGTGTGAAATATATCATTATCCTTGCTCATAAATCTATTTACTTCATCGTTTACGTTCTTCGAACATCCAAGGGCGACAATGGCCCTCTACAGCTTCTCTCCCTTTGCTGTGCTGGGTAACTTTTACCAACCCTCTTTGCACACGTTCTGCCATTCATGCACACAATCTCGTTAAGTAGATTTCTCGCTGTTTTCATTTTGTTTCTTTCACTTTCAATATGCCTTGTGAGTGTTAAATTCTCTAGGCTGTCTTTCTTCATTATACATCACAGAAATTTCTACTCCCACTTTGTTGTTCCTATTTTCCTTAAGACTTTCATTGCTCACATGTTACGTCTGTGGTATTTTCTGTATTTCTTGGTAGAACCACATTTCTGTTGCTTTGAGTCGCTTCTTTATCCATGAAGAGATTGCCTGGCATTCAGTGCTGGATAGGAGACTAGATATTAAAAAGCAGCTCAGCACTCTTTTTCATGATTCTAACGAAGTTTTACTCTAACGCTTTCTTAATACCTAAGTTTCTGGAAAGGTGTGTTTCACTATTCCAGTACGTCTTCGGCTTTCTGCGCAACATTTTTCCGTCGTCTGCTATTACACAACCCAGATAATTGAATTTTTTTTTACTAGCTTGATTTTGACGCGCCGAATAGATAGTTCCCATCCTGGGCTGTTTCTTCAACTCATTTAGTATTCTAACAGCCGCCAGTCCTTTCTTCGTGATTTCCATTACTATCGTATTTCACAGCTTACTTACAGTGTCGCCAATGTATTTTATATTGTTAATATAATGTCCGCTAATAATAAATCGTGGTAGATCTGTTTCTCTTAAGATTGCCTTGCTGTATAAGTGAAATAAATTCGGTGTGAAAACGTGTCCTTGTCTTACACCATTTTCACTGAAATCGTTTCTCTGTTCACAAGCAGAAGATGTTTTCCTTAAAAATCAGCATTTGAAATTGTAGATTTTATTTGTGATCGAAAACTGTATTTAGAGAAATTAATTAGATCTACGTCATTCTGAGGAGAATATCAATAGAGAAGTATAAACATAGATAGATAGATAGACAGACAGACAGACATTAACAGACTGAGATATATATATATATATATATATATATATATATATATATATATATATATATATATAGATAGATAGATAGATATTAACATACTGAGATAGATAGATAGATATTAACATACTGAGATAGATAGATAGATAGATAGATAGATAGATAGATAGATATTAACATACTGAGATAGATAGATAGATAGATAGATAGATAGATAGATAGATAGATATTAACATACTGAGATAGATAGATAGATAGATAGATAGATAGATAGATAGATAGATAGATAGATAGATATAGATAGATAGATAGATAGATAGATGAAGATAGATAGATAGATAGATAGATAGATAGATAGATAGATAGATAGATATGAACAGCCTGAGATAGATAGATATGAACACATTATGATAGATAGACAGATATGAACACATTATGATAGATAGACAGACAGACATACAGACAGATAGATATGAACAGGCTGAGACAGATAGAAAGACAGATATATAGATAGATATGAACAAACTGAGATAGATGAATGACTCGAGAATATTATTAGAAGAAACAAACAACCCGCATTTAATATTCTTCACCGCATAAAAGGATATTTTCAAATGCCTATAAAATATTTCATCAATTCGCTTTCTATTGTAGTTAAGTTCAGTGAAACGCTTCCAAACTCGACGAAACTTATACGATACACTTATATTTCAATTTGAAATGTAGCGTTACAATAAATCCCATTATGTAACTAATAAGATGTCTTTCTTCGATACTGACAGCATTTGGTTCTTGCTAATGATCAAGTCGGTCGAACATAGTCCATCAAAAACATGATTTTGGACAATTTTCTCCTCAATTTTCAGCCGGATGTGAAAGAAATCTTTAGAAAATTTAAAACATATATATATATATATATATATATATATATATATATATGTATGTATGTATATGTGTGTGTGTGTTTGCGTATAAAAGTCCTTTTAATTGAATATATTTATATCTATCTATCAAGCTAGTTAGCTCTCTCTATATATATTGAGAAAGAAATAAAAAAGAGATAAGCGACTTCATACGTGTGTGTGTGTGTGTGTGTGTGTGTGTGTGTGTGTGTGCGAGAGAGAGAGGGAGAGAGAGAGAGGGGGAGAGAGAGATGTTTATTATTTATCGAATAACCACAGGTAGAAAAGCTTGAGCAGAAATCAGGTGTCATTTAACAACAGAAATATCGGGTCTCTATTTACAATGCTTCGGTCGGCTATTCTACGCGTGTGTAAAGGGAGAATCGTGAGACTGAATGAATGGACGTCGCAGTCTGTGAGTGAGAGAGGGGTGCAGTGTGAGAAGGATGAATGAATGAAAGAATGAATGAACGAATGAATGAATGAATGAATGAATGAATGAATGGATAACTGACAGAATGAATAACCAAGTACGCGAGGGAAAGATTGAATGAATGACTGCTGCTTACTCACGTAACTTACAACAATTTCATTTTTAGTGTTTCTACTCAAACACGAATTTTCTCTGTCACGAATAGTTTTCCTTTTTGTTACTGCTGAGAATAGTTGTATATTTCCCACTGACAACGGTAACAGGTGTTCGAGCCCAGGTGAAAAAGAATATGTCATTTTCAAGAATTATAATTGCTATATTATTATTATTACCATTTGAAAGTTTGGGGCAATATAATCTTTCTATTCCAATTTGACCTCAGGGAGCGATTAAATAGGTAAAAATATCCCCACTTTAATCTTTTTCATTCTTAAGGTTTTCTCTTTCACTGATTTCTTTTATCAGTCAGTCAGTTACGTGCTATGCATGATACACGCATAGGCGATTATGTATCTTTCCATAGATGACTGACGATGCAGATTTTTATGCAGTAGGTTGCTATTTCTTTCTGCGGTCGACCAGTTGCCATCCAAGGCTATAGAACCCGGTTTGTCCTGCAATTTACCCATTACAGAGCATTATTTTTATAAATTAACTGATTTAAAATATGGTTTTCCGCTACACAGTTCTAACCGTGTTTCAAAAATTCATGTCTACCATTCCATTTTTGAAACATGGTTAGAACTGTGTAGCGAAAAAAAATCATATTTTAAATCAGTTAATTTATAATATATATATATATATATATATATATATATATATATATATATATATATTATAATTATGCATGTTCCTTAGCTAACACGTACGTTACGATCTGCCAATGCCATATAAATAATTGGCTATTCCTTTTGACCATGAGGAAAGAGTTATAAGACATATAAGAGACGCTATTTGATTTCAGTGGGAAAATGAAAGAATTTTCACTGGCATAACGAGTACATACGCACACAAACACACACACTCGCAGACAGACAGACACACACACGTATATATATATATATATATATATATATATATATATATATATATATATATGGTGGCCTCTCCCGTCGTATTCAACTTATGAGGATCAAGCAGCTCAGTTCCTAGCAACCGACAGCCCAGACACCAGTACATATGATTTGATTGTAGTGATGAAGGCTTTGTGCAGAACCAATCACACTTTTGAAGGGACACAAGTTCCCCATATATATAT